TACCTCACCTGGTACTTTAGGAATAAAAAGATGTATAACCTACTCATTTCAGTGTCCATAAGTTTTTTTTGTTTGTTTTTTGTTTTTAATGCTCAAAAGAAGCCTGACTATTGCTAAAAATAAGACTATGCCACTGGGAGGAGTTTCATACCTCATGACATCTTCAGGATACCCTTTCTGCGGTCTAAGCGGCTGGTTTTTTTGTTTGTTTGTTTGTTTGTTTGTTTTTGAGACTGAGTTTCGCTCTTGTTGCCCAGGCTGGAGTGCAGTGGCGCGATCTCGGCTCACCACAACCTCCGCCTCCCAGGTTCAACCTATTCTCCTGCCTCAGCCTCCAGAGTAGCTGGGATTACAGACATGCTCCACCATGCCTGGCTAATTTTGTATTTTTAGTAGAGACAGGGTTTCTCCATGTTGGTCAGGGTGGTCTCGAACTGCAGACCTCAGGTGATCCGCTCACCTTAGCCTCCCAAAGTGCTGGGATTACAGATGTGAGCCACCGTGCCTGGCCACAAGCAGCTATCTAAAGGCTGTTTCATGGGATGCCTTGTAGAAAAAGGAGCAGAGGGGATGAGGAGGAGGCCCAGGGATTCCTGTGGTATAAAAAAAAGAAGGCGAGCTTCCTAGGACCTCTGTCTAAATTGACCCAGGTTGCCATAACAAAGTGCCCCAGAGGCTGAGTGGCTTAAACAGCAGAAATGTATTTCTCACAGCCCTGGAGGCTGGAAGTCTGAAATCAAGGTGTGGGCAGAGTTGGTGCAGCGCCACCTTCTCCCTGTGTGTCACGGGGTCTTCCCTCTGCACCTGACTGCATCCTCCTGCTTTCCTATTCTCATAAGGACACCAGTCATATTGCATTAGGGCCCACCCTAAAGACCTCATTTTATCTTAATTGCCTCTTTAAAGGCCTTATCTCCAAATATAGTTACATCAGAGATGTGGGGAGTCAGGGATTCCACATAACTTTAGGGAACACAGATTGGTCCGTAACAGCCTCTCCCCACACCCACTGCACTTAGCTTCACAATGCACATGAGCACATCGCTAAGTTATCCCCACAAACCATGACTCACAATGTCTAATGCTGTTTCCCAGGTACTTGACAACTGAGCACTTGTCTCCCAAAAGGCTATGAACCTTCCCCTGATAACCAGGGGACATCCTGCTTAGCAGATGTTAACCTGGCCCTGTGTGGAGGCAGCCATGGGGTCTCTGCACCATACAATACAGAACCACTGGGCACATGTGGACATTGAATTAAAACTAGCTGGCCAGGCACGGTGCCTCATGCCTGTAATCTCAGCATTTTGGGAAGCCAAGGCAGGAGGATCACAAGGTCAGGAGTTTGAGACCAGCCTGACCAACATGGTGAAACCCCATCTGTATTAAAAATACAAAAATTAGTTGGGCATGGTGACAGGCACCTGTAATCCCGGCTACTCAGGAGGCTGAGACAGGAGAATCGCTTGAACCCAGGAGGCAGAGGTTTCAGTGAGCCGAGATCACTCCACTGCACTCCAGCCTGGGGGACAGAGCGAGACTCCGTCTCAAAAAAGAAAAACAAAAACTAGCTAATTAGAAATCAGCCCCTCAGTGGTATCAGCTAGAAAGTGGCTATCATTAGGCCGGGCGCGGTGGCTCAAGCCTGTAATCCCAGCACTTTGGGAGGCCGAGGCGGGTGGATCACGAGGTCGAGAGATCGAGACCAATCCATGGTCAACATGGTGAAACCCCGTCTCTACTAAAAATACAAAAAATTAGCTGGGCATGGTGGCGCGTGCCTGTAATCCCAGCTACTCAGGAGGCTGAGGCAGGAGAATTGCCTGAACCCAGGAGGCGGAGGTTGCGGTGAGCCGAGATCGCGCCATTGCACTCCAGCCTGGGTAACAAGAGCGAAACTCCGTCTCAGAAAAAAAAAAAAAAAAAAAAAAAGAAAGTGGCTATCATTGGCAGAGCAGATAGAGGACATCATTCCCATTGTCGCAGAAAGCTCTGTGTAGACCTTCCTTTCCGGAAGCTCCTCCCTTGACTTGCCTGCCTTGGGCTTTCTCTGACCTGTCCATGCTGCCTCGGCCTCGTGGGAGCAGTGATAAGGGTAAGGTTCTCCGGGTCCCCAGTCGATTGTTGCATTGAGACTGTTCCTGCCTCTAAGGGCTTCCATGCAAAACAAGCAGGCCAAGCAGCCTCCAGCACCTGCTCAGTGCGACCTAGTACTCCCTCAAGGTGCGTGCTGGGGCCGCGCAGGCCTAGTGCCCACGCTCTCTCTTGCAGAGGATCAGCACGGCCACCGGCGACGGCAAACATTACTGCTACCCACACTTCACCTGCGCCGTGGACACAGAGAACATCCGCAGGGTGTTCAACGACTGCCGCGACATCATCCAGCGGATGCACCTCAAGCAGTACGAGCTCTTGTGAGGGCGCTGCTGCCACCCCGCGACGGAGCGGCGCCCGGGACTGCCTGTCTGCCGGCCCCACGCCATGGTAGGAGGCAGAGTCTCTCGTTCCATCTCGCTGCCGTCTGTCCTGTTCTGTGTCGACCACCAAGCCTCTGGCTACCTCTGTCCCCTCAGGTTTGGTTGCATAGCTTCTGTTGTCATTGAATACAACCTTCCGCAGCATCCCACCCCAAACCACTGACTCTCACTTGCTGAAACTGCAGCAGAATCTCTCCGGGTGGGGGCCCCTCTATTCATTCTCATTTATCGATTCATTGAGAACCTGGTAGAAGGGGAGAAAACGCAGTTTGGGTTTTTTCACGTTATCAAGCGTTACTGCAAGAGCGTATGTCCAGTGCCCCCAGCCGCAGCCCTCTGCGTTTCCCTTTATGGAGCTGCAGGCTGACGGGCAATGGTCCCTTCCCATCAGCCTTGGCCCAAGACTTAGAGTCGACCCCAAGCAACAGAGTGACCAGAAACCCTTTTACAGTCACATTTGGAGTTGCTGCTGGCCTCAGGCATTTGAATTAGAGCTACTTTGAGCCTCTTACATTTAGGCAGAAAACCTACCACATTCACTACTGCAAAACGTGTCCTGTCTAAAAATGATTCTCTAAACTTTCACTATACTTAGGCATAATCTTCTTAGATTCTCTTTGTTGTCCTATTGCTGGTTTGTTATACTGTACAGACCACAAAATGTAACATTTTTTTGTATAACTACTAAAGAAAAATCCTTGTAGATCTTTGTGCCTTTACCATGGCTATCTATACCTGTACATGAAATGTGTTTGTATTGTGCTGAATAGCTTAATGTCAACATTACCTGCTGCTTACTCTGAAAAAGGGAATGAATGGTAGCTGTAGAATTTAGGATATTTTATCAGGTTGGCACTTTATAAAATACTCCTTGATTTAAAGAATCGTAAGTTATACACATTCATCATCCACATTCTACCAACAATGTCGTACCAACATCACAAGCTGTTGCAACCACCTGCTCCTACTTCTCTGAGCTGTAAAAACCTGAACTCAATTCACTGGTACAAGTTGCAATCTAATCTTTTCAGAGAACCAGGGATTTTCTTTTTTTCTCTCTCTCTAGACAGTATGTTTCCTAATTACTCTGCTAATGAAAGACTTCTTCAACTTCCCTAAGTGGGAACAGGGCAATGATTCCCTTAGTCAAAACTCTGGACACAGGCTACATCAGGCAAGTTAACAAATGGCAAGAGAAAAACAAAACATGATGTGTCGACGTTTGTGTCTGGCCTAGGAGAATAAGGATGACAGCTTCACTTGCCTTTTGAAGAAGAAACATTGCAAAACCTTAATTTGAAGTATAATGTCAAAAGATACGGCTCTTTCTCACACTTGCAAGATTTACAAATACAGCCTCAAACATTATGCACACAAAGAATATCTAGAAAGTGGGAATTGTTGTAGTGATGACGTTTCACATTCTATCTGTAGCCACAGAGTTGAGGGTAGTTTTTGTAGGTCTATGCCCAAAGTTAAATTTTCAACAATACAAATCTAGAGAAGCGACAGCCTACATTACTTAATTACTCGCCTTTCAGTCTTTAGTCTTTAATATTTTAAAGTTTACTCTATAAATCAGCATTTTGTAATCCTTTATAAACTCATCCAGATTTAAATGCTTTTTCATGAAGAAAGGATGACAACTTTGTAGACAGTGAGTGCGACACACACATATTTTATCTCATCATCATCTTTCTGCCCCTCCCATCCACTGGCTCATAAAACCCTCAGCTGAACTAAGATAAATACAGTGGAAATCATTTTCAGTTCCCCTGGCACTGTCAAAGTAAAACAACACTGCAAAGCTACACCCCCAGCAAGAAAAGGAAGTGTGGTGTTGTATGCATCATCACTCAACAATTACCCTCTAACTAAACATCCCGTTTAAGAGTTTAATTCATACAAGGGCCAGATTTTTAAGAAAAAAACAAAAAGAATACATTTTATCTGTCTTAAAATTATTAAAGCATTTATTTTCAAGTACCAAAAGCCATATCCCATTCTATGTTTCAAGTCTCTTTTGATCATTGACAGGCATTATCAGATGTATCAACTTGGTCTCCTACAGAGAAAATTACACTTATCTAAAAATCTGATCCATTAATTTATCAAGTACAAAAATCTACAAAACAATATGTCCTCCACATCACATCTGTACTTTTTTTTAAAATATATTTTTTGAGACAAAGCCTTGCTCTTTCACCCAGACTGGAGTGCACGATCTTGGCTCACTGCAACCGCCACCTCCAGAGTTCATGGGATTCTCCTGTCTCAGCCTCCCAAGTAGCTGGGATTACAGGCGCTTGCCATCACACCTGGCTAATTTTTGTATTTTTAGTAGAGATGGGGTTTCACCATGTTGGCCAGGCTGGACTTGAACTCTTGATCTCAAGTGATCCACCCGTCTCAGCCTCCCAAAGTGCTGGGATTACAAGCGTGAGTCACTGTGCCCTGTTACATCTGTACTTTTAAGGGTATAGCTTTACAGTACATAGGAATTTGAGAACCACTTCACAGGAAGAGGGAAACAAGCCCATTATTTATGTATACACATAATCTCAGTGTGTGCTGGGGTCACCAGGCCCTTCCTGGGGGAGCAAGGACTGTCGTGCATGTGAGTGATGACATTAATAGCATTTACATACTGTACAGATGCAACCTTCGATGATGCATATATTTGATAAAAATGAGAAAACAGATTTGTTGTAGAGTACCTGTCCATTTTTATAGCATGAGAACAGTACAATCAACTATTTATTTTGCAGTTACTCATTTCAGTGATTGAGAATTTCTGTGATGTGCAGAGAGACAGCCTATAATTGTTCTCAACATCCACTTGATTCTAACATGATCTCTGCCCAAAGTTTCATTATTTGGGTTTTGATATTTATTGCTAAGTGCAAACGTCAACTGCTCTTCACCTTGTCTTATGCTTTCTGAGCAGGTTTGATCCAGAAAGAAAAGGTGAGGCTAAAAGCCCAAAGTGAGTGAGTGTGAGGACCACAAGGAAGCCCACTGCTCCACAGTAGATGATCAAAACCATGTGCTCACGTGGGAGGTAGCACTTGGAGAGGGCGTAGTCCGTGGGCGTGATGCTACCCTGGAAAGAAGAAGAGAAAGTTAGGCTGAGAGCACCAGGCACAGGTTGAACACCACAGTCTAAGAAACAACAGAGGGAAGACTGCCTTCTCAGGTCCCCCTCAGGTGAGACAGGGAAGGGGCCCTCCTCACCTGAGACCAAGAGGGCCTGGCCTTCCCCCTGCACAGGTCACCCTCGACCAGCCTAGGCTCTGGCAGGAAAGACAAGGAAGGCCCAAGTGACCTCTCTGTCAAAACTGGCCCCTGGCCCACTGGGTTCCCATCAAATATAGTAGGGGTTCCATAACAGAGATTCAGAGAGGCACCGTGGAGTTCCAGGGTCATCAGTCAGCAAGGAACAGGAGGGAAGGGTGTCTTCCTGCCCCCTGATGCTCAACTAAGCAATCATTCCCTAGAAATACATGTGTCCAGGTCACCTCACTGGGCTTTTCTTTGAAGGTACTTTTATGTGGAATGACAGTGGCAAAGGTTTTCATTTACTCTGAATCTTAAAATGTTAGGGCTTCCTCACCTTTTTATGAAGTAAAAGAACTTGACATACCAGCATCATGAGCTGGATGCAGGAGCCCATGGCTGAAAGGAGTTAAAACACCCAGTGGTCATTAACTGAAACATTTTTATCAAACTGCAAAGGCTGTTGCATTCTCTGCCAGGGAAAATGGACATGTTTAGAAACTAGGAGAAGATGGCTGAGTATAGCTAATGAATAAATGGTTGTTTCTTTAGAAAATTAAACACACACAGAGAGTGTAAGAGGAGAGGACATGGCCTTCCCTGAAGGATAAATTCCACCTGGACGGTGCCCTGCCCTCGTTCTTCACATTAACCACCCAGGAATGTCATGCCGATTGGTTCCTGAAAGGGTGTTTGGCAAGGGGCAGTGTATGGACCTAAGTGTAGAGGAAAGGAAATTGTGTGGCTTTTGTAAATTTTTATAGATTGCAGCTATTAAATAGTTGATTACTGTGTTGATTTAAATACTTATGAAAGCTTTCAGACAAAAATAAACTTTCACCTTACCATGATGAAACTGGGGTTGTTTCTGTTCCTCCAACTAAAAGACGGGACGCTGAGCTCGGGAACTCGGCCCTCGTGGTGCACCTCGCAGGCGCTGTGCGTGTGGCCACTGAGGACCAGGCGCGGCTGGAGCCACCACAGCAGCTGACGGCGGCCGAGAAGACAGCAAAGCAGGCTGTTAGCTCACCCTCAACCAGGACTCACCGCCCAGCCGACGGCCGCTGGCCATCGCTTCTTTCATTAAATTAAATACTAAATCCTTACGTTGAAGGACTAGTTCATTTTTTTCCTTAAAAATCCTTTGGTTGGCCGGGCGCGGTGGCTCAAGCCTGTAATCCCAGCACTTTGGGAGGCTGAGGCGGGTGGATCACAAGGTCTAGAGATCGAGACCATCCTGGTCAACATGGTGAAACCCCATCTCTACTAAAAATACAAAAAATTAGCTGGGCATGGTGACGCATGCCTGTAATCCCAGCTACTCAGGAGGCTGAGGCAGGAGAATTGCCTGAACCCAGGAGGCAGAGGTTGCGGTGAGCCGAGATTGTGCCATTGCACTGCACTCCAGCCTGGGTAACAAGAGTGAAACTCCGTCTCAAAAAAAAAAAAAAAAAAAAAAAAAAATCCTTTGGTTTATTCACACTAAATCAAGGTAAGGTCAGCCCCTTTAAATCTACTGTTCTCATCCCAGATTTTATATACTTTTTATGATATTTTCTCTTTAAAAATATTTTTATACATTTATCTTATAAATATTTCCTATATTTATATTTTTTATATAATGTAATATGTATTATATAAATCTATATAAGAAAATGCCTTTTAATTAAGTCCCTAAAAATTTGACTCTAAGTTCCATTCACATTTCTAAATACATTTAAGTTGGTGAAAACTGAATACAAAGAATAGCTGAGAATATTATTGAATTGAGGTTAGGAAAAAGAAGTAGATTTACAGATTTAAAAAAAAAAAAAAAAAGAGAGAGAAAGCAATTGAATGAAAATCTGGGATACTGTCAAAGCCAGGCCTCCACCCCTGTCCCCAGGTGATAACTAAGTCATCAACATTTCAGCAAATACCTGCTCTAGCCTGGGTGCTCTGCTTGTTGACATGCAAGGTGATGAGAGTCACATTGTGACATGAATTAGCACCACAACACCCTGGCACACCTTTTGTGATGCCTCCCGAGAAAGCACATCATAGTTCTCCTTAAATGGGACGTTCCGTTCCTCTGGAGGAGCAGCGTCTTCCCCAGAACAGTTAGCATCACTTCTCCGGTACAGAGGATAATGCTGACGGGATGGAGAGAGGAGTCAGGTGGTTATAGTGAAACCCTGGCTGCCTGCTGTTCGCCACGCGCCCCCTCCTCCCTGGGCTCACCTGCAGGAGGATGGGGGCAGATGTGGGTAGCAGAGGCCCAGGTCCACACTGGCTGGAGCTACGTACCTGCTGGGTACAAATCGGGCCATTAATCCACACACCTGACACTCATCAAAGGGCAGGAATGGCAGCGGGGGCTGAGTGAGCAACAAAAGTGGAGTGACATGGGACGAAAGGCACCTGTGGTGTTCAGATGCTCTCCTACCTCTCGGGAGCAGTTCAGTCTATGAGAAACATCAATGAGTTCTGCTTCGGCTTCAGAACAGATGCCACAGCCGTCCCCTTTCAGTGCCACGCTGTTGACCATCACGAAGCTGAGGTGGAGGGCAGAAGGCAGGTGAGGTCACTGGGGGTACTGGTGCTTGGCACAATCTTGGCTCACTGCCATCTCTGCCTTCTGGATTAAAGCAATTCCCCTGCGTCAGCCTCCTGAGTAGCTGGAACTACAGGCATGCACCACCATACCTGGCTAATTTTTTGTATTTTAGTAAAGACAGGTTTCACCATGTTGGCCAGATTAGTCTCGATCTCCTGACTTCGTGATCCACCCACCTTGGCCTCCCAAAGTGCTGGGATTACAGGTGTGAGCCACCGCGCCCGGCCACGGTATTGGTGCTTTCTTTCCCCACTGTTCCCATGAAAAGAAAGCTAAGCATCCAGTATGAAGAAACAAGCCCAGAGCAGCTTTCAACCCCACCCAGAATAATTGGGTGTATTTTTTTTTTTTTGAGGCGGAGTTTCACTCTTGTTACCCAGGCTGGAGTGCAATGGCGCAATCTCGGCTCACCGCAACCTCCGCCTCCTGGGTTCAGGCAATTCTCCTGCCTCAGCCTCCTGAGTAGCTGGGATTACAGGCACACGCCACCATGCCCAGCTAATTTTTTGTATTTTTAGTAGAGATGGGGTTTCACCATGTTGACCAGGATGGTCTCGATCTCTTGACCTCATGATCCACCCACCTCGGCCTCCCAAAGTGCTGGGATTACAGGCTTGAGCCACCGCGCCCGGCGCAAAAGTTTCTTAAACACTATGCTTAGAGGGCAGTCACTCAAACTGTATCATGTTTCTATTATGAGTGAGTCAGCAGAGGAAGCCACCTTCTAGAGACTCTGCCCTCTGGGCAGAGGGAAGGAAAGGTGACCATTGGTAATGAAGCCACTGGACAGAGATGACCTCATCTACAAACCTGCTGTGGCCAAGGTCAATAGAGCGCCGGGCACCCACAGGAAAGACAGGATTAAAAGAGAATAGGCTTCTACTCCCACCTGTTTAATCTCCACCATGTCTATAATCAATATATAGAGTCCTGTCCACTGTGCTGCAGCCACATTCACAGCCCAGAAAGGATGCAGAGACGGGCACTGATGTGGCCTCACAGAGGAGGAGCTGGTGTTCATGGTCAGGCTAAGGGTCAGGGTGCTGTGGTCTAAAAGCCCAGGCCAATGGGCTTGGGTAGCACAGAGCTACAGAGGCACTGTGACACACTTACCACCAAATCCCATGACACCATACTATGGGAACAGTCTTTGTAAAGTGAAAATAGTACATTTTGATCAAATAAAATACTCTTTTACAAAGTGGGCTCATGAAATTTGTACCACCCAGAGGCAGTGCAGATAGAGTATCATTCCCACAGTGGCTGGGCAGTTATAAACTGACCGATTCACTGTGGGGTTGTCAAGGAAAACCAGGGTGCTCTGAGGTTTCCCATCTATCGGCTCCCATGGTGAGCACCAGCAAGGATAGCCTGAGGCACTGCTATTTAAAGACCACAAACCAGGCTAAACAGAACACAGGTAGATGATCCATCCCAGCATGGCAGGCACCTTTAAAAAATGAAGCTTCCAAGGACTAAAGGTCTTGGAAGAATTTACAAATAATACTCACTTAATGCCTTTCCAAGAAAACAGTCTTTCAGAGCTGAACACTTTCTCAAATCGTTTCACTTTGTATATATTCATCCTATATTCAGTTGTAAACAAGAAACATTTTTCAGGACAAGCCATTTTAGAAACTCCTAGAGTTATCATGAACACAAAGTAACTTTCAGGACTTGAGTTTCAGACTAGCATTATGACTTAAGCCGGCCCCAGGATATCAAAGCTCAAATTTTAGTTCCACTACTTACTATGAAGCCTGGGGCAAGTTACTCAGCTGCCCAGGGCCTCAGATTCCACATTGGTACTATAAGTAAAACAACAGGACCATGGTAAAGATTAATGTGTCAAAATATGGAAAGTAAAGCACTTGAAACAGGCAGCATATTATAAGCACCAGAGCACTATATAAATGTTAGTTACTAAAGTCTAAATGATCTTGTTTTTTCATTCCCAAAGAAAATAATTGGCTATGAAATGTACATTTCAAGTTAGATGTTTCCCAAGGGCACATATAATTCATTCATTCCACAGATACTTGTTGAGGGTGTACTATGCACCAAGAGTAAAAACCCCTTAAAGGCTTTAACATCCCAGAGCTTACATCTTTTGAGGAAAACAAATTTCGAGATGGTACAAATAGGGCTTTCACCTGAATTCCAGCAGGTTTAGAATTAGTTAAGAAGAGCTCTCAAGGTGCAGTGCTTTCCTGAATTACTTACTCATAGTGGAAGCCAATGTCATGGTTTCCAGCAACTACCTTCAGCTGCACAGGACTTGGATGTCTGAATATTTTCTGAAACCGCGCCATATCATCCGCCCAGGCCTGAGGGAAAAAGAATCACTGCTGGGAGCCAGAGAACCCTCCCTGCCCTATGGCTAAGAAATCGTGATCCCTATGTTGATGTGAGAAGTGAATGAATTCCCCTGTTCAAATCAGATGTCTATAAAGATAATGTAAAACTTTTTTTTTCTTTTTTTGAGACAGGGTCTCACTCTGTCACGTGAACTGGAGGGTAGTGGTGCCGCCACGGCTCACTGCAGCCTCAACTTCCTGGGCTTAAGTGATCCTCCCACCTAAGCCTCCCAAGTGGCTGGGACCACAGGCACACACCACCACATGTAGCTAATTTATTTTTTGTAGAGATGGAGTCTTACCATGTTGACCAGGCTGGTCGTGAACTCCTGGGCTCAAGTGATCCTCCCACCTTGGCCTCCCAGAGTGCTAGGATCACAGGCATGAGCCACCATCCCAAGATGAACTTTGAATTTTTAATTCTATATAATACGTCTTTTCTAAGACTGCAATTAACACTTAGTATTATTTAATTTGATGCCAAGTTTTTTTTTTTATTTTGTTTTGCTCAAATGATTCTTGTGCTTCAGCCACCTGAGTGACTGGGATTACAGGCGCGCACCACTATGCTCAGCTAATTTTTGTATTTTTAGTAGAGACAGGGTTTCACCATGTTGGCCTGGCTGGTCTCAAACTCCTGACCTCAATTAATCCACCCACCTTGGCCTCCCAAAGGGCAGGGATTACAGGCATGAGCCACCACACCTAGCCTAACGCCAAATTTTTAAATGGTGTCCTCTCCCATCTTAAAACAACAACTGGCAATCCCCAAAAATATTTGGTTCGTACACTTATTATTTCAAGATCCCATGAAGACCATTCATAGAACCTGGTGGATAAATGCTTCAGATCTGGCCATGCCATAAGAACAGGCTCTTAGAAAACATTGAGGAAGTTCTTCATGTGTCTCAACCAGAATGAGGATGAGAACATCTTTAAAAGTGGCATTCCTGCCAGGTGCAGTGGCTCACACCTGTAATCCCAACACTTTGGGAGGCTGAGGTGGGTGGATCACAAGGTCAGGAGTTCAAGACCAGCCTGGCCAAGATGGTGAAACCCTGTCTCTACCAAAAATACAAAAATTAGCCAGCCATGGTGGTGCATGGCTGTAGTCCCAGCTACACAGGAGGCTGAGGCAGGAGAATCGCTTGAACCTGGGAGGCGGAGGCTGGAGTGAGCCAAGATCGCACCATCGCGCTCTAGCCTAGGCAACAGAGCAAGACAATGCCTCAGGAAAAAAAAAAAAAAAAAGGTGGCATTCCCCTATGGCTGCAACAAGAACTAATGAGATGTGAGAGAAAGAAAGACAAAAAAATACTTATTGTAACAAATATTTCAAAATTATTCTGATACTTGCTTTAATTATTAAAACTTGAGAGTTATATGTTAGTGTAGTTCTTATTTTTATAAGGCTAAAAATACCAATTGCACAAACACCCTAGGGTAGGAAAAAAAATGAAAAAAAAAAAAACAACCTCTATTCTAAATGGTAACTAATTTTATCCTAAAAGTTGTAAATCTGGCAAAACCTACGGAAATATGCTGGATAGAGAGTCCTTGAAAACACTTAAAAAGATTCCACTTTAACAAATAACATTTAAAGTTAGATGGCTGGGCGCGGCAGCTCACGCCTGTAATCCCAGCACTTTGGGAGGCTGAAGCAGGCAGATCACTTGAGGTCAGGAGTTTGAGATCAGCCTAGCCAACATGGTAAAACCCTGTCTCTACTAAAAATACAAAAATTAGCTGGGTGTGGTGGCAGGCGCCTGTAATACCAGCTACCGGGGGAGGCTGAGGCAAGAGAATCACGTGAACCAGGGAGGCAGAGGTTATAGTAAGCTGAGATCACACCACTGCACTCCAGCCTTGGTGACAGAGCGAGACTCCATCTCAAAAAAATAAAAATAAAAAAGTTAGAGTAACATAAAATCAGAATAACAGACACTGTAAAACATAAAATGTTGCCCTTAATCTGGAAAAGCAACATATCTATCCAACCTCATTTTGTAACTAGTTTTTCTCTTTTTTTTTTTGCATATAAACATTTCTACTATCTCACATGTAATTATAGCCTAGACTATAACAAACATTGCACTCTGTAAATAGTGGTTCCTACCAACTCTGAGCCAAGACTTCTCTTGTGCAGCTACTGAATTATCCTAGGGAACGCCAGTAAAGTTTTTGGGTTTTTGTCGCGGGGTTTTTTGTTTTGTTTTTGGTTTGGTTGGTTGTTTTCTTTGATTTTTATCTTTATTTTTTTATTTTTATTTTTTATTGTACTTTGGGCTCTGGGGTACACGTGCACATCCTGCCTCCTGCAGGAATTGTTGCATAGGTACATACATGCCATGTGGTTTGCTGTCTCCATCCCCCTATTTCTCCCAGTGTTATCCCTCCCCATCCTCTCCACCCCCTGCTGTTACCCCCACCCCGCCTAGCCCAGTGAGTGTTGTTCCCTTCCCTGTGCCCAGCTGTTCTCATTGTTCATCACTTGCCTGTGGGTGAAAACGTGGTGTTTGGTTTTCTGTTCTTGTGTCAGTTTGCTGAGAATGATGGTTTTATGTTTATTTTTTGAGACAGGTTCTCACTCTGTCACCCAGGCTGGAGTGCAGTGGTACACAGCTCACTGTGGCCTCCACCTCCCAGGCTCAAGCAATCCTTTCAGCTCAGCCTCCTGAGTAGGTGGGACTACATGCACACACCACCATGCCTGGCTAATTTTTGTATTTTTTCTAGAGATAGGGTCTCACTATGTTGCCCAGGCTGTTTTTAAACTCCTGGGCTCAAATAATTCTCCTTTCTTGGACTAGGTCAGGGGCAGTGGCTCACACCTATTTTGGGAGGTTAAGGCGAGCAGATTACCTGAGGTCAAGAGTTCGAGACCAGCCTGGGCAACATGGTGAAACCACATCTCTACTAAAATACAAAAAATTAACTGGGTGTCATGGTGCCCACCTGTAGTCCCAGCTACTCAGGAGGCTGAGGTAGGAGAATCACTCGAACCCAGAAGATGGAGATTGCACTGAGCCAAAATCACACTACTGCACTGCAGCCTGAGTGACAGAGTGAGACTCCATTTCAAAAAAAAAAAAAAAAAAAAAAAAAGGGCCAGCCCTTTTGGGAGGCCAAAGCAGGCAGATCACCTGAGGTCAGGAGTTTGAGACAAGCCTAACCAACATGGAGAAACCCCATCTCTACTAAATACACACAATTAGCTGGGCATGGTGGTGAATTCCAGCTACTCAGGAGGCTGAGGCAGGAGAATTGCTTGAACCCAGGAGGCAGAAGTTGCAGTGAGCCAGGATTGCACCACTGCCCTCCAGCCTGGACAACAAAAGCAAAACTCTGTCTCAAAAAAAAAAAAAAAAAAAAATCCTCCTGCCCTGGGTTTCCAAAGTGCTGTTACTGTAGGCATGAGCCACCAGGCCCAGCTATGATGAAGTTTCTTCAAGTCTACCCCACATAAAATATTTTCCAAAAACTATTAGTGAGTGAACATTTTTTAAGCAGCAAGATAGCACCTGGGATCTGAGACAGCCTAACGCAGCTCCCAAAGATGCTCAATGGAGACTGATTTTGTACTATACGGAGGAGATGATTGTATCTAGCTTGTCTTCATTCATTTTGTTCCAAGGATGTAATAAGCAGAACATTGTGACAACTAAGGTAAGAACAGCTTTTGTCTTTGGTTTGTGGCAAGTCTTACATTACCCCAATACCCAGGCCAGGGTCTCAGGCCCTCCTAAAGGCAGAGGAACCTCACACCAAGTTCCCAGGGCTCCTTGTGCATCTCTCATTCAGAAGAAAGAAAATCAGGGGAGACCAGTAAGTCTCTTTTGTAGCACAATTCTCATAACACTGTGATTAAGTAAGAGTGTGAAATTAAGTGTACATTTCACTATGTATTTTGCAATTTCGGTGACAACTGAAATAACACCTATCTTGCCTGTTCCTCCCTTTCCCAAGAGGTTCACAAAACAGGTGTATTCCAACCAAATGATGTCTGGCTAATCAACATATTTCCTGCATGGACAAATGTTTAAGATTAGCCAACCTAACTCAAGATTGGGTTGTTCTAAGAATCTTCGATAGTCTATGAATTCCAAGAATCTTCCAGATAGCCCACCCATTTTTAATATCAGTAGTAAGTAAAACTTCCATAAAATTTCCAACTTGAGCTGACATTGCTTCGTGGATTCTCTGGGCTACTTGTGCTGGACCTCGAAGCAGGATGAGGACACCTGGATCACAGAGTCCTACCTCAGGGGTGCTCCACTTCCCTTCATCAAAGACATCCCCCAGGATGAAGACGACTTCCGGCTGCAGCAACCACAGAGCTGTCTGGAAGGCTCTCTCCATCTGCCATTCCCTTGCCGCCAACAGGAAAAAGTAAGAACAGTCTATTTCCAGGGTGGAGACTACTTCTGTATTATGCAGCCATTTAAACAGCAAACTAAATGGTCCCATTCTCCTTCTTCCAGGGCCCCACTCTTGCATTCCCACCCCATGATTGAAGGGCCAAGGAGCCCATATCTGACTAAAGGTGGGGAATTAAGTATCAAGGAAGAGTCCAGCCATCCCTCCTGCACACCCCAGACACCGTGGTGTCCAGGAACAGGCCCCAGTCCGCATGCACCCTGCAGCCATTACTCGGTCAAGGTAGCACCTGGGATCTGAGAGTCTAATGCAGCTTCCAAAGATGCTCAATGGAGACTGATTTTATACCACACAGAGGAGATGATTGTATCTAGCTTAATTTTAGCTTCTTCTTAAAGGGATTTCAACTTCCTTCTTTGCTTCCAAGGTGGAGGGGAGATGATGAGAGAAATAGGCTAGCCAATATCAAAACAGTAAATCCTGTAGATTTCAAAATCCTCCCAGCAGTAAAACAAGCAAATGAAAGAGCCTGGAGGCCAGGCGTAGTGGCTCACACCTGTAATCCCAACACTTTGGGAGGCCGAGGTGGGCAGATCACAAGGTCAGCAGTTCGAGACCAGCCTGGTCAATACGGTGAAACTCTGTCTCTACTAAAAGTACAAAAAATCAACTTGGCATGGTAGTGTACACCTTTAGTCCCAGCTACTCAGGAGGCTGAGGCAGGAGAATTGCCTGAACCTAGGTGAGGCTGCAGTGAGCTGAGATCACCCCACACACCCACACACATGCCACTGCACTCTAGCCTGGGCAACAGAGCGAGACTCCATCTCAAAAAAAAAAAAAAAAAAAAAAAAGGAGGAAGAAAAGAGCCTGGGATGTGCGATCTAACCGATAATGGCTTAACATCCCAGCTTGATCCACTGACAAGCTGTGTGACTTTGAAAATATTGCCTACTCTCTGATTCCCAGTGTCTTCATTGGTAAATGGGGATTTTAAACCCTGCTTGTACAGGATAGTTACGGGGTTAAATAAGACAGCATTTGTATAGCATGGCAGGGGCACACAGCAGGTGTTCAAAAATGTCCGTGCTTGCTCAGCCCTCCCCGTCTACAGCCTAACCAAATCCAGCCTGTATCATTTTCCTAAGGAACTCAAAACTTTCCTCCTTTTTAAGGCATTTTCCTGGCTGCGCCTTCTCTACAAAAGGGAAATGCTATGTCCTGGGATATATAAATAGGGAAAAGTAGGCTGGGTGCAGTGGCTTACACCTGTAATTTCAATGCTTTGGGAGGCCAAGGCAGGAGAATCACTTGAGGCCAGGAGTTCAATACCAGCATGGGCAACACAGCAAAACTCCATCTCTACAAAAAAGTAAAAATTAGCTGGGTGTAGTGGCACAAGCCTGTTGTCCTAGCTACTCAGGAAGCTGCAGTGAGCTATGATCCTGCCACTGCCCTCCAGCCTGGGCAACAGAGCTAGACCCCATTTTAATTAGTCAATGTAATTTCTGGTCAGAGGAAGATTTTCAGATCCCAAGTAAACTACTATGTGGTACACATCACCTCTGAAACGCTTTTTACCCAAGATCTCTCTCTCAAAATACATTTCTCCATTTTTCTTATTTTATTTTACTTTTTTTAAAGAGATAGGCTCTTGCTCTGTCATCCAAGCTGGACTGCAGAGCCATGATCATAGCTCACTGTAGGCTCAAACTCCAGTGCTCAAAATAGCTCAAGCAATCTACCTGCCTCAGCCTCCTGAGTAGCTAGGACTACAAGTGGGTGTCACCATGTTCAGCTAATTTTTGCATTTTGTTTATCATTTTTTTTGTTTAAATGAGGTCTTGCCATGTTGCCCAGGCTGGTCTCAAATCCCTGGCCTCAGGCAATTCTTCACCTCCACCTCCCAAAGTGCTGGGATTGCAGGCATGAAGCACTGCACTCAGTGTCTCAGTTTCTCTTCATTTAATGTTATTTGCCAGGAGAAGTAAGAATCTAGAAACAGCCACAAGAAGAAAGCATAGAAGGCTACTTGGAGAGACCCAGACACCCATCAAGGTCAATTTGTAAAATCAAGACACTGCAGGCCAGGCCCCCCACCAGCCCTTCTTGAACTCGAGCCTCCTTTGGTTAAAACTCTTAGTAAAAAGATACAGCTGCTCCTTCATTATTCTTCTTACTCTTTTTTTTTTGAGATAGAATTTTGCTCTGTCACCCAGGCTGGAGTTCAGTGGTGCAATCTCGGCTTACTGTAACCTCCGCCTCCCAGGTTCAAGCACTTTTCCTGTCTCAGCCTTCAAAGTAGCTGGAATTATAGGCATGTGCCATCATGCTGAGCTAATTTTTGGATTTTTCATAGAGAAGGGTTTTCACCATGTTGGCCAGGCTGGTCTCAAACTCCTAACCTTGTGATCCACCCGCCTCAAGCCTCTCAAAGTGCTGGGATTACAGGTGTGAGCCACCATGCCTGGCCTAAAAGTAATTTTTTAAAAAAGCTTCCTGGCGAAAAAACAATTGACCATGTAGGAGCAGGTTGAGTTGGAGAGACAGGACCTGATCCTTCCTCAGGGGACAGCCACAGATCTGCTCTGCCCCTCTGCTGCCTAGGGAAGGCTGAAACCCAATAGGCTCAAAGTTACACAGCAGTGACAGTGAGATGAGACCACCAACCCAGATCTGTGCCCTCACCTGCCCAGGGGATCAGCCCCAGGCACCAGGCATTGCATGGCATCTTCTTGTCATTGAGTGGCACATCTTGTGATGTTTCTTGTCTTAACCCAGTTACAAACAAGGAGGCAGGGGCTCAGAGGGACCCTAACAACTTGTCCAAAGTCACAAAGCAATGTGGCCCAGACCTGACTCCCAAATCATGTGGCCCTATATATATCCTCAGTAAATGGTAAATTCAAGGAAAAGTCAAATGTCCCTAAATGTCCTTCTTTGAGAGGAATGTAACTAAGAGTAACCTAAAGCCATCTTGCTATTAGGAGAGGGCTATACTTTTTGCCTACAGAATTTTAGAAAGATTCCTGCTTTTACCTCTTACCTTCGCAATTTGTCCAGCCAGTGGCCTAGGAATTCCCCAAGCAAGTGGGTGTCAGCCAGAAACATGGCTTTGAGCACCGGCTCACGTGTGGCTTGTTCACCATCATCGGCTGTGGGTTTCACGTCAGGCCACTTACACTGAAAGATCACTAAGTAATAGATTAAAAATTCACAAAATAGAAGCACAGCAAAAACAACAGCTATGAGTTTAAACAGCAATGAACTCTTCCTCTTTAATGGATGAAAGTTCCATCTTCCAAACCCCAATCCGATCCTAGCCATTTCTCAAGCAATAGTAAATCCATCAAGGGTTCACCATGAGAAAACTGCAGAGCCCCAGGCAGCGTGATGGCATTGAGGTCTTAGCTGGGTATCTACAGGGAAAAGGAAAAGAATTCAGTTATATTCCCTAATAATACCGGTATCGTCACCTCCCTCTATCAAGAACTAACGAGTTACATAATCCTATCTACATTCCCAAATTAACTGCTGCTGAGAACAGGCCCTAAGCCTGTCATAAACAGGCCTTAAATAAACTGGCCATAAGCAAGATATCTATAGCACTGTGACATACTCGTGATGGCAGTGGCACACATTGCTGGAGGTTGTTGGTTTACTGGAGCAAGGGCGAGAGAGAGGCTATAGACAGTGGCATTCTACTTTCAGGTTCTTCAACTTGCACTCAAGATGAGAATCTGAGGAGGGCGATGACATTTCCAGGGAGGGTATAAGAAGCTCAGATGTCAGAGAAGCCCCTGAAGTCTTGTGGAGTGGGAGCTATGAGAGACACTGACCAGAGATCCTAATTGAACCAATAAAAAAATAAAATCCTTTTTTAGGAAGATGATTTTCTAACATGAATCTAGGACCTTCATGTCACTCATAGGTATGAAGTCAAGAACCACATCATTTCCCCAAGGTCTAAAATCACCGCTGTGAAACACGTCTTCAGAACTCTACATTTGCACATGGAAATTAAGAATAACCCCCATTCCTTGCTGGGCACAGTAGTTCACCCTGTAATCCCAGCACATTGAGAGGTGGAGGTGGGTGGATCGCCTGATGTCACAAGTTTGAGATCAGCCTGGCCAACATGGTGAAACCCTGTCTCTACTAAAAATACAAAACTGAGGCTGGGTGCAGTGGCCCAAGCCTGTAATCCCAGCACTTTGGGAAGCCGAGGCAGAGGTCAGGAGTTCGAGACCACTCTGGCCAACATGGCAAACCCCGTCTCTACTAAAAGTACAAAAATTAGCCGAGTATGGTGGTGTTCACCTGTAATCCCAGCTACTCAGGAGACTGAGGCAGGAGAATCGTTTGAACCTGGGAGGCAGAGGTTGTAGTGAGCCATGATCATGCCATTGCACTCCAGCCTGGGTGACAGAGTGAGACTCAGTCTCAAATAAATAAATAAATAAATAAATAAATAAATAAATAAAATAGAATAATTCCATTCCCTATAAGAGTCCCTAGCTTGTTTTACAGTGGTGTTCTTTTTTTTTTTTTTTTTTTTTTTTCTTTTAAATTAAAGGCAGGGTTTCACCATGTTGGTCAGGCTGGTCTTGAACTCCCGACCTCAGGTGATCCACCCACCTTGGCCTCCAAAGTGCTTGGATTACAAGTATGAGCCATCAGGCCCGGCCTACAGTGGTGTTCTATAAGCAATCATTAAGATATGGAACAACTTTAAACTTTACCTAAAGAAAAATAAACAGGTGTGAAAATGTAGTTTGAGCCACTATCGAAAGGTTAAAACCTGACCAAAAAATTGGCAATACCTTCAGAAATTGATAAATGAAGAAATCTTATCACAACTATTCTAATGGAGCATTGGCAATGGGTATGTGGTACTATTAAGTATTTGTTACTATTTCTGGCTTTTCAGAAGATGAAAGGGTAGAAAACGGTGAAATGGATGGCCCAGGGACTGTCATTCCTCTGTCTCATTCGAATGGCGTTACCTGTATTAAGTACTTGATTTACTTTTTATTTTTATTTTTTTGAGACAGAGTTTCTCTCCCATCACCCAGGCTTAAGTGCTGTGGTGCACTCTCGGCTCACTACAACCTCCACCTCCTGGGCTCAAGCAATCCTCCTGCCTCAGCCTCCCGAGTAACTGAGACTACAGGTGTAGGCCACCATGCCCAGTTAATTTTTGTATTTTAGTAGAAATGGGGTTTCACCACGTTGGCCAGGCTGGTATCAAACTACTGGCCTCAACTGATCCACCTGCCTCGGCTTCCCAAAGTACTGGGATTACAGGTGTGAGCCACTATGTCTGGCCTAGGTATTTGAATTAAAAGGGAATAGCTGGCCTGGCACGGTGGCTCACACCCATAATCCCAGCACTCTGGGAGGCCAAGGCAGGAGGATCACCTGAGGTCAGGAGTTCAAGACCAGCCCGCCAACAGTGGTGAAACCTTATCTCTACTAAATACAAAAATTAGCCAGGCATGGTGATGCATGCCTGTAATCCTAGCTACTCGGGCAGCTGAGTCAGGAGAGTCACTTGAACCCAGGAGGTGGAGGTTGCAGTGAGCCAAGATCGTGCCAGGGCACTCCAGCCTGGGCAACAGAGTGAGACTTCGTCTCAAAATAAATAAATACATAAAGAGGAAATGGCAAACAAATACTCGATTTTAAATATGTTCTTTCAGATAGAGAGGTCAAAAGCAGCCTTGCTTATCATCTGGAGTCAACTGCTCTTGCTGGAATTCTCCTCCAAAAACCTACATCTTTATCAGCTGGTCAAGCTGTATTTTATATAATTCACTTAGACCTTTGTCATCCCTGTTTTCTCTAAGGCAAACCACACATGCTGCACAACTGTAGTCACCACATGCCTTTATCTTCCAACTGGTGACAGCTTTGAGTAAAAAATGTCACTAATAAAAATGAAAACAAGGCAATGGTGTGAACCAGGACTGTCTTAGGCAACTCAGGGCTTGCAGGCACCGTATGCTGCCCGTGCTTACTCTGACACAGAGGAGAAGCAGCAGTTCCTGTTTGCAGTCATCCACCTTATCTGTGAGAAACTTTGGAATGATTGCACAAGTGTCAGGAACCATGCACCAGTATGGTGAAGGGCATGGGTTCTCTGCTAGAGAGACCTCTAAGGCAGGGGTCCCCAAACTACGGCCTGCGGGCCGCATGTGGCCCCCTGAGGCCATTTATCCGGCCCCCGCCGCACTTCAGGAAGGGGCACCTCTTTCATTGGTGGTCAGTGAGAGGAGTACTGTATGCGGCAGCACCGCAAAGCACGGCATCGCTCACGTACAGTACTACTTCCGGTGACGCGGGACGCACGTCACGGCTCTGGAAGCACATCATATGATGCACATCCGGTCTGCGGCTGCGGCGCCCCACATCACCGGAAGCAGTGTGAAATAACAGCAGAAGTAGGAAGAAAGGCAAAGCACTATAACCATTACTACACAGTACAGTGGCCCCCATACCCCCAAATGTACAACAACATAATGGCCCCTATAACCTCCCTTTGCCCAAAAGTCTCCCCCGCATTACTACACACTGTGTTTCCCCTATTATAAGACCCTGTCTTATATTAATTTTACCCCCCAAAAGACGGGGGCTGTCTTATTTTTAGGAGGTGTCTCATAATAGGGGAAACATGCAGCAGGGGGCTTCCCACAGAAGAGGCCCACCGCTGCTGCAGATGTCCAGACGCTGTATACTCAGTGTCACAGGCTGATCACCGCCATCCCTGTATACAGCACTGGAGGCGGTGCTGGGCCTGTGACACTGTATACCGCTGTTTGGGATAGCGGAGGCAGCAGCGCTGGATGTGAAGGGTGTCACACCTTGCATAGTCCGGCCCTCCAACGGTCTGAGGGACAGTGAACTGGCCCCCTGTGTAAAAAGTTTGGGGACCCCTGCTCTAAGGGATAAAGAACATGTTCCTCAACACCATCCAATTTCCTTTGTTTTGATGAAATTAAATACATCGAAGGCAACTACTCGATCTTAACATCTCATTTTCTTTCAACAGGCCTAGAATCTCCTAAAATCCTAAAAGCTAAATCCAAAACCATCATTGAAACTTTCGAACACTGCATGTTTCCTCCAGCTGTGCAGGACTAGTTGAGAGGGAAGGAATGTGACCTTCTGGGGCAGGCCAAGGAGTCTTTCAGTGTGCAAACCTTTGCTGTTTTGTAGGTTTCTGGTTTCCCAAGATGAAATACCAGAATGACAACTTGATAATTGCTCTTCTACACCCGCTTCTTTTCATCAGAGTGGGGCTTGTTTGAGCAGTTATGACTAAGAGGTGCAAAAAGCATCAGTGAGCAGACTGGAGACAAGGCAGGCTGACAGCCTGCAGTGGGGCTGAGGGCAGGATAGGATGCACAGCTGCAGTCCTCCAGCTTCCCTGGATGAAGACAGCAGGACAGAGGACACAGAGACTGGCCTATGCACTGCCAGACAAGCTGGGCTCTCCCTGCCCCAATTCCCCACTCAGCCCACTCAGCATTACTCCTTGCTGGTAAGCCGCCTGCAAGGAGTGTCCCACTACAAACAAACCGGTCAGGGGAGTTCTGGCCCTTTTCTCAAACTGCTAAGTTCTTGTTACAGGTAGTTAGACAGGCATGAGTCGGGCAGGCGAGAGCTCTTCCCACCCACCTGGAACGTCAGATGATCACCAGGTGACGATTCAACAGTTATCATATTGCCATTCTAAAAATGATTATTTAGCAGCCAGCGGCCAGGAAGACACACTCTCCGGAGGGTCCACAGCTGACACATTAAAGTGTTAATTAAATGCAGGTGGCAGGGAGAGGCAACTTCCTGAGCACACCCATCAGGAGACAAAATGGCAGAGTATGACCTTCTGGGGGCACTCCACCGGAAAAAGGAAGAAAGCCTCAGGTGGGCATGCATACAACTTCCTAAACACATTGCTCACAGCTCACCTCCCAAGCTGTAAGAAGGGCACTGCACATGCAGGCAACGCACTCCAAGGCAAGAATCACGGGGAAGGGGTGCAAGACGCCAGAGTGAGCCAGCCTATAAAGTCCTAGGATCACGTTAAACACTGCACTTAACCTTCACACTGTCCTCTTGGGTCTCTTCCAAGTGTATTTTTCTTTCTTTCCTGCTCTAAAGCTTTTTAAAAACTTCCACTCTTACTCAGCAACTTGCCTAAGTCTCTTTTTCGGCCTTATGCCCCTCAGTGGAATTCCTTCTTCTGAGGAGGCAAGAATTGAGGTTGCTGCAGACCTGTATGGGTTTGCCACCAGCAACTAAATACCTCCTACTCCTGACATTCTTTTTTCCAAAAGGGAATTTAAAAGATCCTATCCAAAGCCTCTCAACCAGAGAAGACTTGGAAGGAAAGAAGGCAGGAGGATAGCAGAAAAAGAAGGAAGAGTGGAAGGGGCTGGGGAGGGAAAAGGACAGAGAAAGAGAGAGCAAGCAAGCTGGCTGGCACTGTTACATATTTTCCCAAGAAGGCCTAACCATGTGAAGAAGGAGCTATCTGGCATAACATGATATCTTTTTTTTTTTTTTTTTGTCATGGTCTCACCCTGTCACCCACACTGGAGTACAGTGTTCCCAGCTCAGTGCAACCTCCCACTTCAGCCTCTGGAGCAGTTGAGATTACAGGTGGGCATGCGCCAGCACACCCAGCTAATGTTTGCATTTTTCATAGAGACAGCGTTTCACCATGTTGCCTAGGCTGGTCAAGCAATCCTGGCTCAAGCAATCCACCAGCATTGGCCTTCCAAAATACTAGGATTACAGGCATGAGCCACTGCACCAGCCCAACATGATCATTTTTTAAAAGACGAGAGGCTGTGCGGGGCATGGTGGCTCATGCCTGTAATCCCAGCACTTTGGGAGACCAAGCAGGCGGATCATTTGAGGCCAGGAATTCAAGACCAGCCTAGCCAACATGGTGAAACCCTATCTCTACTAAAAATATGTAATACAAAAATTAGGCAGGTGTGGTTGAGTATGCATGTAATCCCAGCTACTGGGAGGCTGAGGCAGAAAAATCACTTGAACCCAGGAGGACAGAGGTTGCAGGGAGCCGAGATCTTACCATAGCACTCCAGCCTGGGCAACAGAGCGAGACTCCATCTCAGAAAAAAAGAAGAAGAAGAAAAAAAAAGGTAACGGAGCAAAAACCTATTTAGAAAACCTTTGACAGCCGGGCACGGTGGCTCAAGCCTGTAATCCCAGCACTTTGGGAGGCCGAGGCGGGTGGATCACGAGGTCAAGAGATCGAGACCAACCTGGTCAACATGGTGAAACCCCGTCTCTACTAAAAATACAAAAAAATTAGCTGGGCATGGTGGTGCGTGTCTGTAATCCCAGCTACTCAGGAGGCTGAGGCAGGAGAATTGCCTGAACCCAGGAGGCGGAGGTTGCGGTGAGCCGAGATCGCGCCATTGCACTCCAGCCTGGGTAACAAGAGCGAAACTCCGTCTCAAAAAAAAAAAAAAAAAAGAAAAGAAAACCTTTGACAGTAGATCCTTAAACAGAATACTTTTTGGGTAGGTGGCTCACATCTGTAATCCCAGCTCTTTGGGAGGTGGAGGCAGGCAGATCACTTGAGGGCAGGAGTTCAAGACCAGCCAGGCCAACATGGTGGAAACCCTGTCTCTACTATAAATACTAAAATTAGCCTAGTATGGTAGTACACACCTGTAATCCCAGCTACTCAGGAGGCTGAGGGAGGAGAATCACTTGAACCTGGTAGGCAGAGCTTGCAGTGAGTGGAGATCAGGCCACTGCACTCCAGTCTGGGCGACAGAGGCAGACTGCCTCAAACAAAAACAAAAACATAAAACACCTTTTCTTCCTGTACCAAAGACTCATTGAATTAGCATTCCCAAGGTCGTTATGGCCAAAACATGCCCTCTATTCCCACCTGAAATGAAGACAAAATCACATTGGAGGGCTGAGGGTGTCAGGGAAGAGATTCCTTCCTTCCCTAGAAATGGCACCAGCATTAGGTAATGAGTCATCACTCCTGTGAATGGCTTGCTTCCCAACAAGTATAAACCTGCTAACCACCAGCACCTGGGAGCTCTGCGGACGACCCTGCCCCCGCCCCCGCCCCGCCCCTGCGGACCTGCACAAATGGAGCCCTACCTTTTTGTCAGGAAAGGGGAAAACCTGAGAGCTCTGTGAGGAGTTAGCCACTTGTTCCTTGGTGAGTATTTAATCGCGTATGCTGTGACACAACCAGCAGAGACAGCAGCTATGCTGAACTGGAAAGTACCAAATGACAGCACTGCTCTGCCACCTTGTGCCAGCCACTTAAACCTCTTCCTGGACCTCACAATACCCACTTCAGTGCTTTTGTAAGGACTAATAGAAAAAAAACAAAGCTTAGTCCTCAAAATTGTAAATTGTAATATTTTGAATTTTACGATTCAAATTTTCTTTTCTTTCTTTCCTTTCTTTTTTTTTTTTTTTTTTTTTTTTTTTTGAGACAGAGTTTTGCTCTTGTTGTCCAGGCCAGAGTGCAATAGCACGATCTCGGCTCACCACAACCTCCGACTCCCGGGTTCAAGCGATTCTCCTGCCTCGGCCTCCCAAATAGCTGGGATTACAGGCATGTGCCACCATGCCTGGCTAATTTTGTGGTTTTTTTTTTTTTTTTTTTTTTTTGAGACGGAGTTTCGCTCTTGTTACCCAGGCTGGAGTGCAATGGCGCGATCCTTGGCTCACCGCAACCTCCGCCTCCTGGGTTCAAGCAATTCTCCTGCCTCAGCCTCCTGAGTAGCTGGGATTACAGGCAAGCGCCACCATGCCCAGCTAATTTTTTGTATTTTTAGTAGAGACAGGGTTTCAGCATGTTGACCAGGATGGTCTCGATCTCTCGACCTCGTGATCTACCCGCCTTGGCCTCCCAAAGTGCTGGGATTACAGGCTTGAGCCACCGCGCCCAGCCCAATTTTGTGTTTTTAGTAGAGACAGGGTTTCTCCATGTTGGTCAGGCTGGTCTCAAACTCCAGACCTCAGTTACCCACCTGCCTCAGCCTCCCAAAGTGCTGGGATTACAGGTGTGAGCCACTTGGTGCCCAGCAAAATTTCTTAAACTGTTACTATTTTCACTCCCAAGTTCAATTTGTCAGTCTTATTAAGATAATCAAACGATCACCCAGCAAGAACACTGTACAGCTTCCACAGGACAGTTCAGGCCGGCCTGGGATGGAAAGGCAGAGATGCACCTCTCTGGTGCCTCCAGACATATTCATAAAATATGGAAGCTAGATTATATATTACCTATAAGTTTCCAGGAAAATCACCAAGTCACCTCACCTTTTAAAGAGAGAGAGAGATTGGTACGAAGGCTCTAAGTTGGCATCTACTCCCCCAAATCATAATTCATTTATCTTAAATGAAACAAAAATGTGTGTTTTGTCAGTGAGGGATCTTTTATTTAGTGAAGTATTAACAAGTAACCTGACCAACTTTGAAAGTAAAAAAGAATCTGAGAAGCTAAAGAAAAATGACAGTGGGTTAGTGGTCAAGAATACCTATCTTGAATTATAAAGAATACCTATCTTGAATCATAATTTAAAATATCTGTATTTATATATAAATTACATGTTCTGTTCTGCCCAACATATATGAATAATCACTGCAATCCATAATTGGGAGCAAAATATTTTATCTTTGAACTTTTCAATTTGTATTTATTTTTATTTTTGTAGAGACAGGGTCTCACTCCACTGCCCAATGTAAACCAAATACGAAATCTTAAGGCTCCACAACCTTCTGCCTGGACCCCCACCCCTCCACCAAGGGCATTCCAGAATTAACCTGAAAAACTCGTTTAGGCCATGATGGGAAGTGGGATGGAACTTGCCTCATTTTGTCCCCCCATTCAGGAAAAGCAGACCAGCACTTAACATGCTGGACACTTAACTTGTAATCTATTCTCTCTGAAGCCTCCTACCTGGAGGCTTCATCTGCATGATAAAACTTTGGTCTCCACAACCTCTTATTGTAACCCAGACATTCCTTTCTATTGATAATAACTCTTTCAACCAAATGCCAATCAGAAAATTTTAAATCTACCTGTAACCTGGAAGCCCCCCCATCACCACCTCCCCAGTTGTCCCACCTTTCTGGACAGAACCAATGCACATCTTTTTTTTTTTTTTTTTTTTTTTTTTTTTTTTTTTTTTTTTTTTTTGAGACGGAGTTTCGCTCTTGTTACCCAGGCTGGAGTGCAATGGCACGATCTCGGCTCACCGCAACCTCCGCCTCCTGGGTTCAGGCAATTCTCCTGCCTCAGCCTCCTGAGTAGCTGGAATTACAGGCACGCGCCACCACGCCCAGCTAATGTTTTCTATTTTTAGTAGAGGCGGGGTTTCACCATGTTGACCGGGATGGTCTCGATCTCTCGACCTCGTGATCCACCCGCCTCGGCCTCCCAAAGTGCTGGGATTACAGGCTTGAGCCACCGCGCCCGGCCTCCAATGCACATCTTAATTTTACATGTATTTGACTGATGACTCGTGGCTCCTCTAAAATGTATAAAACCAAGCTGGGTCCCGACCACCTTTCGGTACATGTTCCCAGGGTCTCCAAAAGGCTATGTCATCAGCCATGGTCACCCATATTTGGCTCAGAACAAATCTTTTCAAATATTTTACGGAGTCTGACTTTTTGTCAACAGCAGGCTGCATCACAGCTCACTGCAGCCTCAAGCGATTCTTTTCCCAACCTCCCGAATAGCAGGGACTTCACGTGCGTGCCACTACCCCTGGCTATTTTTTTTTTTTTTTTTTTTTTGGTACATTTTATAGAGATGGGGGTCTTCCTGTGTTGCCCAGGATGGTCTCGAACTCCTGAGCCACCGCGCCCAGCCTATCTTCGAATATTTAACTTCAAAGTTATCGTTAAAAATTGAATCCCCCCACCAAATATCATGAAAAAAATATATCCAATGATCTGTAGTTTTTCTCTAGTTCTCTATTTTAAATATATTCATTGCAATCTCATCAACGGAGACTTGCATTTGAAATTTTCCACCTTGAGCGGTATTTTTTAATCAGATAGATTTTTTTAAAATCTACACCCAAAAACTAAAAAAAAAAAAAGAAAAAAAGAAAATAAAAATCTACACCCATAAACGAGAGTGAGAGACCCCTGCAATGTAATACACGGATCTTAAGTCATCGAGATTTTCCAGTAAACAATTTGCAGAATGCTGTTTTTCCTAGGTTAACTTGCAATCCTAAAACGGAAGGAGGTTCCGTTTTTAGAAGTTTAAATGTTGTCACAAGGGCGCAAGAATACATACAGTAGCCACGCTTTCCCTCTCTGCGCACAACGCCAGTCATGAGGAGCACCGGGCGGTGCGGGAGCCCTTTCACCTGCGCCGGGCGGCTTCTGCGGCCGAGAGGACCCGGCGCTGCAGCCCGAGCCCTGCGCGCACCCAGCCGGCTTCCTGTTTCCGCAGCAGCGCGCGGGCCTGTCACTGACGCCCCTGAAACTCCGCCCCGGCGGCCTCAGTCGGGCGGGGAAGCCCGAATACCCCCGGAGCCGTCCGGTCCGCCGGTTGCCGGCGTTCTGGAACGCGGGCTGCGGGAGCTGGAAGGCTGTCTGGAGGTGCCAGGCGGATGGCGCCGGGGCTCCGCAGCCTGTCTCCCCCCGAGTGGACAACCCCAGCCGGGGCTGCGTGCGCGACTGCGGAGAGTAAAGGTCGGCCCCTAGCGCCCTTTCCCAAGTGCCTGGCAGGCTCGGCAGTCCCACTGTCGCGTCACAGAGCCCCTGGGCAGTCACTGCAGACGGGCTGAGGGCTCGGAAAAGGCATTCAGGGGACACAGGAGAGGGGCGAGGGCTACGCACGGGCGAGCAGTCATTATGGCCCAGGCAAGGCCCGTTGCTGGGCGCACAGGCGGGCAGGAGGAACTCGCGCCCCGGGCGGCGCGCCCGGCCTCCTGAAGCCAGGACCGGCTTCTGGGCACAGCCATGGCGGCGGCCGGGGGTGGCCACTACTCCCCGCGAGCCCGCCTTCCCTCCCCAGAAGTCCCCAGAGCCCGCATCAGAGCTCCAGGGCCTGGAGGAGCCAGGCGGGCAGCTGACTGCCCGGAAAGCCCGAGCCACTCCCCGGCTCCGCGCGCGGTGGCAACCAGTGCCGCCCGGCTCCCCTCCCGCGCCACGCTGCCCCTGGGGACCCACCGGGCCTGGCTGGGCGTCTTTCCTCTCCTGCGACCCAGGGGCCTTGCAAAGTGCCCTCCAGAGATGTGCTCAGGAAGTGTGTGATGAATAAAGGGGACAATCAGGATAACTGTAATAAATATTTATTATGCACTTGCTTTTCTCTCACTGATGTTACTAATTGTAATAGTGTAGCACGGCGTGTTCCAGTTTTTTAAGTGCTTTCACATTCTTCAAAAAAATCCTCAAAATAAGCCTGTATATTAAAAGCGGGAGCCATTATTCCATATTTCAAGAAGTAAACTAGCTCAGAGTAATAACCCACATAGAGCCTTCCACCCAGCCAATTTTGGTACATTTTCACAAATCTATGAGTGTGGTTAATACACAAAGATGTCGTATGAGGATTATATAGGACACAGCCAGCAAAATGCCTGGTATACAATAAGTATCCGGTAAATGGTTATTATTAGTAAGAATATTGTAGTATTTTCAGATATGATCAGGTGAACAACTTTGACACAATCGAAACCGGGACAGCCTGATTCCATAAACACTGATATGTCACAGTGGAATGTTTGCAGCCTCACCCCTAAAGTATTCTTGCTGACTGACAAAGGAAACAACCCAGTTAAGCTTACAACTCTAACCACAGGCTAAAGGAAATATAGGGCCGGGCGCGGTGGCTCAAGCCTGTAATCCCAGCACTTTGGGAGGCCGAGGCGGGTGGATCACGAGGTCGACAGATCGAGACCATCCTGGTCAACATGGTGAAACCCCGTCTCTACTAAAAAAAATACAAAAATTAGCTGGGCATGGTGGTGCGTGCCTGTAATCCCAGCTACTCAGGAGGCTGAGGCAGGAGAATTGCCTGAACCCAGGAGGCGGAGGTTGCGGTGAGCCGAGATCGTGCCATTGCACTCCAGCCTGGGTAACAAGAGCGAAACTCCGCCTAAAAAAAAAAACAAAAAGAATCAGAAAGAGATGTGACAAGGGAAGGAAGGTCAGAGAGATGCAACCTGACAAGGATGTGGCCGCTGGTGCTGACTCCAGAGATGGAAGAAGGGGCCACAAGCCCAGGAATGGCACAGGTGGCCTCTCAAGGGTGGAAAAGGCAAGGAATGAATTATTCTGCAGATGCTCAGGTGTCCTGCCATCACCTGAATTTTAGCCCAGTGAGACCCACATAGGCTCCTGACCTACAGGACTTGTAGAGTAATAAATTTGCATTGTTTTAAGTAACCAAAGTGATAGTAATTTGTTACAGTATCCATAGAAAACTAATAAAAGCATTTACTATATTTCTCTCCGTGTTTTTGTGAATTTAAGATTTTTCAGCCGGGTTCGGGCAGCTCACGCCTGTAATCCCAGCACTTTGGGAGGCTGAGTCGGGCAGATCACAAGGTCAGGAATTTGAGACCAGCCTGGCCAATACGGTGAAACCCCATCTCTAGTAAAAATACAAAAATTAGCCAGGCATAGTGGTGGGCACCCCTAGTCCCAGCTACTCAGGAGACTGAGGCAGGAGAATCGCTTGAACCTGGGAGGTAGAGGTTGCACTGAGCCGAGATTGAACCACTGTACTCCAGCCTGGGTGACAGAGTGAGACCCTCCCTGTCTTAAGAAAAAAAAAAGAAAAAGATTTTTTTGTAATAAAATATTTATTAAGTCCATAAAACATACACCTAAGAAATACATTTTTCAGGCCGGGCGTGGTGGCTCAAGCCTGTAATCCCAGCACTTTGGGAGGCCGAGGCGGGTGGATCACGAGGTCAAGAGATCGAGACCATCCTGGTCAACATGGTGAAACCCCGTCTCTACTAAAAATACAAAAACTAGCTGGGCGTGGTGGCACATGCCTGTAATCCCAGCTACTTAGGAGGCTGAGGCAGGAGAATTGCCTGAGCCCAGGAGGCAGAGGTTGCGGTGAGCCGAGACCGTGCCATTGCACTCCAGCCTGGGTAACAAGAGCGAAACTCCGTCTCAAAAAAAAAAAAAAAAAATACATTTTTCAAAGTAATTCATTTAGACCTGAAGTGTAATCTAACCTAGCATAGAATTATGCAATGCATTTTAATTTCCAAAGGAATTATATATCATAAATCCCTTTTTAAAAATAATTGTTGAGTATAGTTAGTAAAATAATGTTGATTTTCGAAGTCACAGGTATAATACAGCATGGTGTGACCTATTCCTGACTTTATTATTTTATTATTATTGTTATTATTTTCTTTTTTGAGACAGAGTCTTACTTTGTCTCCCAGGCTGGAGTGCAGTGGCTCATTCTCAGCTCACTGCAACCTCTGCTTTCTGTGTTCAAGCCATCCTCCTGCCTCAGCCTCCAGAGTAGCTGGGATTACAGGCACTTGCCACCAACCCAGATAATTTTTGTATTTTTAGTAGAGACAGGGTTTTACCATGTTGGCCAGGGTGGTCTGGAACTCCTGACCTCAAGTGATCTGCCCACCTTGGCCTCCCAAAGTGCTGGGATTACAGGTGTAAGCCAGAGCTCCTGGCCCCATTCCTAACTTTAGAATTGGTTTATCTAGACTGACTGTTATCAAAATCTGCATATTGACATGACTTCAAGATGCTAACATTTATGAAGGTAATTTTCCTACTGGCATATATTAATTTCAGGAAACAGATAAAACAATGAATAAATAAAATGTATAAAACAGAATATTTAAAGAAAATAATCTCTTGGCTGGGCGCAGTGTAATCCCAGCACTTTGGGAGGCCGAGATGGGCAGATCACCTGAGGTCGGTAGTTCGAGACCAGCCTGACCAACATGGAGAAATCCCATCTCTACAAAAATCACAAAAATTAGCCAGGCAAGGTGGTGCATGCCTGTAATCCCAGCTACTCAGGAAGCTGAGGTAAGAGAATCACTTGAACCCGGGAGGCGGAGGTTTTGGTGAGCTGAGATCACACCATTGCACTCCAGCCTGGGCAACAAGAGCAAAACTCCATCTCAAAAAAAAGAAAAGAATCTCTTAAAATATGTAAAAGTAGAATAGCTAAAAAATCAAAGGCCAGGCGCGGTGGCTCAAGCTTGTAATCCCAGCACTTTGGGAGGCCGAGGCGGGTGGATCACTGAGGTCGAGAGATCGAGACCATCCTGGTCAACATGGTGAAACCCCGTCTCTACTAAAAATACAAAAAAAATTAGCTGGGCATGGTGGCACGTGCCTGTAATCCCAGCTACTCAGGAGGCTGAGGCAGGAGAATTGGCTGAACCCAGGAGGCGGAGGTTGCGGTGAGCCGAGATCGCGCCATTGCACTCCAGCCTGGGTAACAAGAGCGAAACTCCGTCTCAAAAAAAAAAAAAAAAAAAAAGTCAGTAATGAATATTTTGATGTAATTTCTAATTTTTAATTAATGAATATTAGGCATTTTCTATTATATAAATAAATTACCCACATTTTGTCAAATTTGCTAAAACAGTACGGACACGGTGGCTCACACCTGTAATCCCAGCACTTTGGTAGGCTGAGGCGGGCAGATCACTGGAGGTCTGGAGTTCGAGGCCAGCCTAGCCAACATGGTGAAACCCCATCTCTACTAAGAATACAAAAGAAGGACGGGTGGATCACGAGGTCAAGAGATTGAGACCATCCTGGTCAACAAGGAGAAACCCCATCTCTACTTAAAATACAAAAATTAGCTGGGCATGGTGGCACGCGCCTGTAGTCCCAGCTACTCCGGAGGCTGAGGCAGGAGAATTGCTTAAACCCAGGAGGCGGAGGTTGTGGTGAGCCGAGATCACGCCATTGCACTCCAGCCTGGGTAAAAAGAGTGAAACTCTGTCTCAAAAACAAAAACAACAACAAAAAAAGAATTAGTTGTAGTGCCAGACACCTGTAATTCTAGTTACTCAGCAGGAGGCTGAGGCAGGAGAATCACTTGATCTCAGGAGGTAGAGGTTGCAGTGAGCTGAGATAGTGCCATTGTACTCCATGCTGGGCAACAAAAGCAAAACTCCATCTCAATTTTTTAAAAAATTGCTAAATCAAATAACATTTATTTGTCCATAGTTTTAACCAATTTTATTAGTTGCTTTTAATGCCGTTAACCTATTTTTTATTTATTTATTTCATGTTTTGAGACCGAGTCTTGTTCTGTCGCCCAGGCTGAAATGTAGTGACACAATCTCAGCTCATTGCAACCTCTGCTTCCCGGGTTCAAGAGAT